CCTCCTCGAAGTCCCCTCACCTCCAGCCTCGCCTTGTATGCCATCTTGGGTCCTGGTTGGGCCACCGTCCTTCAAGCCCTTGGCCGGGGTGGGGGTGGTGCCCACGGAACCTCTAGAGGAGGAGGATTCATCTCCGGTGTCTTTTCCCAAGAGTAGGACCTGGGCTTCCATCCCCCATCTGGCCCCAATCTAATCCTGGTGACTCGCCACACGCGGCGGGCAGGGGGTGGGGGTGACTGAAACCAGGGATGAGGGGCCAGGGCGCTGGGGCTGCAGGCACTGTGGAAAAGCAGGAGCAAGGACAGCCCTGAGCCCCAGAATTAGGCCCCCAATAGATCGAGACAAGCTGAAATGGGGCCTACTCTCATAAAGGATTCCCCCTACACCTAGGGTCATTGTGGAGGCCAGGGAGGTGGGGAGTGGCTGGCCAGGTGGAGACTGGAGGGAATTCCAGGCAGAGGGGAGGAGCAGATAGACAGCCTTGGCAAAGCTGTGAACCCAGTAGATGGGCTCCCAACAGCCTGTGACACCCTGGGGTCAGATTATAGAGGCCTTAGGCACAAACCCAAGACTCCAACCGGGCACTGGAACCCTTGGGAGACAGTGAGAGCTTTGGCTGGCATCTGCGGGGACCAGCATAAGACTCTCTGCTGTCTGTGGGTGTGAAGTCTTTATCTCACTGTCTCCCCAACCCCAGCCTTCCTGCTACCAAGGACCAGAAGTGCATACAGACAGATAAGGGCAAATGGCACTAAGGGTAAGTAAGGCATTGGAGGCACTGCCAAACTGAGTGTACCACATCCCCCTCCCCTGGCCCCAGGGCCCTTCCAGGTCAAAGAGGGGCAAGGTACCTGCAGGGCTCAGCTGGCTCCTGGCCCTGGGCAACATGGGGTGAGAACCCTCAAAGGAGGACACAACCCAAGTGTCCATTGATGGATGATGCTAAACAAAATGGGGTCCATCCACACAGTGGAATATAATTCAGCCTTAAAAGGGAAATTCTGACACATTACCATATGGAAGAACCTAGAAGACATTGGTTTCAGTGAAATAAGCCAGTCACAAAAGGACCTAAAATAGCCAAATTCATAGGGAAAAAGTAGAATGGAGGGTGCCAGGGGCAGGGGAATGTGAATGGAGTCAATGCTCCTGTGTACTTAAAAATGGTTAAGATGGTAAGTCTTATGTATATATTCCCCAATTAAAAATAAAAAGGGGTACACAGGCCCTGGCGCTGGGCACAGAGAAGGCAGAAGAGGCTCAGTAGAAGGAAGGGAGGGGGGAACCCCAGTCAGCTGTCCCAGCAGAGACTAGGGGCGGGGGTTCCACTTCTGGAGTCACTAGGATGTTACTGCCCATGCCCCAGTCTCTGAGGCTGACAGTGGGCTCCTGGCGCCCTCTTGTGGCAGTATGAGGAGTCAGCCCTGGGCCCCTGGCTCACCCACCCTCACCCTCCACCTCCCAACTCTGGGCAGAGAATGGGCCTGTGTAGGTTGGTGCCAGGGAGCGGCTCCTTGAGGGTAACCTGGTCCAGAATGGGCACATGCCTGGCCCTGAGCTGGCCCTTTGACACCAGGTTTCCCCTGCCTCCTGCCCCAGATGCTTCTTCAAGGGGACTGGTGAGGCTATCACTCACAGACAAGGGCTGTCTCTCACAGCTCCTGGCCCCACCAGGGAAGCACCAAGTGTTGTTGGCCATCAGAGGTCTGTTGCCCAAAGGACAGGGAGCCTAGAAGACCATACCTGGCTTCAATTGCTGTGGGTGCAAGAGCAGACATACAGCAGGTGCTCAGTAAACACCTGGAGAGTGAGTGCTTGGATAGACAACTGACATCCAAAACCTCAGGTAACCCCTCCTGATGTCTGTGCTCAGTTTAGAGGCTCCTTCAAAGTCCCCCACCTCCAGATCCTTCAGTGCCCTGACCCTCCAAATGGGCCTCACTCAAAATCTAGGTCCTGGCCTGGCAGGGGGCTGGAGGAGATGCTGGGACAAGGAGCTGTCCAAGGTGAGCCCTTCCCTGAACAGTGCCTGGGATAGGGGAGGCAACCCCACAGGGTGAAGGGCACAGGCAGGAGCACTCGTGACCAAGATAGGGGCTGGGCTGGTCCAGGGCCTGTGGGAATAACACAAAAGCCAAGCAGAGTCAATGGCGGGCAGGTTGGGAGGAAGAGTGCCCAAGGCCTGGATGGAGCTTAGGGCAAAACAGCGACTGGAAAGGTGGCCAGTGGGAGGTGGGCAGGGACAGCCCCAGGCCCAGCAGCCACCAAGGAGTTTGAACTTGGCTTCAAAGGGACAGCAAACAGAGCCCTTAAGGAAATGGTGAGAAAGCCCAGAGAGAGGTCACGTTCTCTTAATTGCCCAAGACTGCCCACTTGGGCTCCCATTTCAGGAAAAGCAGGGTAGAAGGAGAGATGTGTCCCCAGCAGAGCCTGTGGCCACTGAGACCCCTGCAGCTAGGATCTCCTGAATATGCTGCTTCAGCTGCCCAGGGCAGGGTGCTGCACCCCTGGGAGAAGCTGGGGGCAGGAGACAATGAGGACATTTCCCGTAACTGAGAGCCAAGGGGTGCCAGAAAGCAGCTAGAACCTGGACCACCCAGTGACACAATCCAATGGTGTCAACCATGAATACTGGCCTGGATTGCTCCTGACCAGCCTGACCTAGGGAACTCCAGGGTGCTGGAGAGACCAGTCCTCCTAGAGACCCCATCAGGGAGTCATATCTGCCAACTCTGCAACCTTTGGTTCCCTTTCACCTGCACAACCCCCACCCTCCACCCCCAAGTGGAATCACCTCGCCTACCCATGAGCCTGTACCTTGGGACACGTGGCAAATTTCCTCCCTTTGACGAGAAATCCACCCCCTACATACACCTTGCATCTTCTCCAGGATCCAAAAATGCAGCTGCAGATTGATTTGCAGCCGAACTAAAAATAACTGCCAGGCTCCAGCCAGGGCCCGGGAAAATATCCCATTGCTAGGAGACAGCCGTTACTGGGAGACCGCCATTGCTAGGCAACAGGGTTGCCATGGTGACAGCTGGGCCCTGAGTCATCCTCAGCTCTGGCCGCTCCGCCCCCCTGCCCCTGGTGAGCCAGGCCTGGGTCCTAGGAGGAGGGAAGGCAGGGAAACAGAAGCTGGAAAGAGCAGAGAGGCCGGCTGCCTGCTGCCCGCCACCCATTGCTGCCACAGCTGCCCCAGGCTGTGAGGTTCTCACTGTCGTAGGTGCCCATTCTGGCTGCAGAGTGGCCAGGACAGACAAACACACCTGCCCACCCTATATGTTTCCCTCCCCAGGCACTCTTGGCACCCCTGTCTCTGTGTGGGGAGCAGAGGCAGTGAGGAGCAGTGTCCATCCGGCCCATGGCTCCAGAGCAGGAAGCTTCAGAGCCAGCCTGATCACTCTGGAGCATGGGGTTCTCACCACCTGTGCTGCACTAGGATCTTCAGGGCATCCTCTTGGACCCCCAACTCATTTTCCAGGAGGAGAACTACCTGTCTGAGGCCTCATCCAGGAAGGGAGGATTTGGGACCCATGCCTGTGGTTCCAGGGCACACGTTCCACTCCAGAGCCCCCCAAGGAAAGGCCTGAGGACCTCCTGCAAGGAGCCTCAAGGAGTTTCAGAACCACTGCCCCAGACCTCAAGAGCCACCAGTGGGGAACTCTGTGGTAAGTAGCCAATTCCCTGATGTGACAGTGGCTCCCTCTCTCAGAGCCCTCCAAGGTCTCAGGATGGGACATGCCAACAGCCTTTGGTCCTCACCCCTTCATGACTCCAGAGCTGGAAACCCCCAGCCACCTGGACTGAAGAGACTCTTCGGTGTCTAGGCATCAAGATAAGGGGTGCTCCATGTGAGAGGTGCTCCAGGTGAGGGGTTCTCCAGATGAGGTGATGCTCCAGGTGAGAGATTCTTCAGGTGAGAGGTGTTCCAGGTGAGGAGTGCTTCAGGTGAGGGGTGCTCTAGGTGAAGGGTGCTCCAGGTGAAGTGTGCTCCAGGTGAGAGATGCTCCAGGTGAGGAACATGGTGCCTCCTTGGAAAGCCAGTGTAGCTGAAGCTCTAAGAGCAAGGGGCCAAGTACAGGGCAAGGCTTCAGGCCAACAGTGACAGAGACTCAGGGCTTTGCAGGCTGCAGCAAAGAGCAGAGGGAGCCCTGGGAGCATGGGGACCAAACATGCCTGTAAAGTGACCCCTCTACAACTAGAACAGGTGGGGCAGGGGGAAGAGGAGCCCCACAGTAGTGTTTCATGTCCCTCTAAGCAAGTGCTCAGATTCTCCCAAGGCAAGTGACCTCTCGACCCCCTCAAATCACCAAGTGAAACCCTGCCCACCAGTCAGGACACCATCTACACCAGGGTCCATGCTGACCCACGCCTGCACACATGGGGTGGAGGCTGAGCTGGAAGGCCAAACTTCCAGACCCACACACTGGAGGGAATGGGACAACAAACACTCTCCCAGTCACCTCAAAGTCTTCAGGCAACCCACCCTGCCTGCCCAGGCCAAGCCTCCTCCTTTGGTCAGCATCAGTGAGACTGTGACTCTGCAGTCAGCCACATGGGAGAACTGCCTTCACCCCATCCAGTGTGCCACACACAGCAAGAGTGGCACAATGCCCCTCAAACCAGCCAGGGTCAGACCAGCCTGGTTCCCCCTCCCGCTGCCCTCCCCTTACACCAGCCTCACTGGGCCCCACTTCCTGTCAAAATGTTGCAGACACCAGCTGGTTTCATTTCTATTAAGGCTGTCTCAAGGGGGCTGTCTCTCAGCTCTGAGGCCCTTCTCTGATGCAAAGAACCCACTTTGCTCTCCTCACACCTGTTCCCTCTGCCATCTCTGCTCCCAGGAGACCCCAGAATGGACAGCGTTAGCTTCTGTCCTCTGTCCTGGGCCGGCTTGGAGGCCTGGTGTCCCCAGTGGCCCAGACAGAGCCCTCCACACCCTCCCACCACACCCCACCCCACCCTCTTTCCCAGTCTGTCCAGACTAAGCTGCCACCACTGAGACCTCCAGTCCCTTCCAGAGGGTACTCGCCAGGCTCCTTAAGGCCTCGGGACCTTTGCACACCCCTCCCTGGACAACTTTCTCTGCCCTCCCACCCTTGGGGGTCTCAGCTCTGGTGTCATGTCCTCAGGAACTCCACTACCACCATCACTCTCCTGGGGTCACC